CATAAAATGCTATCTTAAGTGATCACTAAACCATTGTACTAAGTTTTTTTTTCTTTTCAACCATTCTTTAACACAGCAAATAACTTAAGTCCCATCGCTTTCAAACCGAAGTGTAGTTATTCCCATAAACACTTTGATTGTCTTTTCTGTGGTCACACTAGATTTTTTGCTGTGATTGGGGACATTCTTGTCTTTCTGTAACGAAACAGGGTGGCTCTGCACTTTCTCCATTAAAATTATTATGCCTAATAAATAGTGTATAACTATCTAAAATTTAATAGCAGCGTGAACTCATCGTACGTTGTCACACTTCTTCTTTGGATGGTGTTCAAAGTCTCTTGCATGCATAAGTCATTTGTTTTGGGTTACAGTGTTCATAATGAAATTAATCGTCTCACTTTTATTCATTCATATATTGCATTCTTCTGATTCCTAAATTAATTCACTATTGGGTTTCTTTTTAAAAATTGATGCAACATAAGAACTTTTTAAAAAGTCACCGATTCTAATGTGTGGTGGTGGCATTTGACTTTCAGATAATTTTTAAATTTTTTTATTATTCATTCAACAATTCATATAATTTTTATATAATATTTTTTTATGCCTAATCTATCTTTCTGCATTGAACAATTTATAACATTGCATTCTCATTTTTTTTTTCTAATCTTAGTTGTATAATTTGTTGCAAGTATAAATAACATTTGGTAATTATTTTCTACTCAAAACTTTCCACCACAAAATTCTAATTACGAATTCTTTCAAATGAAAATGAATAATTTCAATGTACACGAAAAAGAAAGTACAAAGAAGAATAGATAAGTCTGACATGATCCAATAAAGTTGAGGGATCATCTACAGATAAGATAGTGTTAGTGATGTAATATTTTTTCACATATATTTATAATTCAGTACGGTCATGAGTTCATAGTGTTTATATTTTAAGTCATATATATATATATATATATATATATATATATATATATATATATATATATATATTTATTGATTTATTTAAAATATTTTTTAAGAATAAAATATATTTAAATTATTATTTTAAAAATCAACATATCAGTTTAACAGATTTAAGAAGTGGCTCATTATTTTAAATATCAAATTTTAATTAAACTCAATTTTTGAGAAAAATTAATTTTAAAAAATTATAATATATTTTAATTCATTTTCATTACATTAACGTACTCCTTTCCTCTAGCGGAATTTAATAACTATTCATATTATTATTATTATTTTGATATAAAAAGAGTATGCAATATTTTATTTTTATCCTAATTAATCTAATTTGATATTAAAAAATATATTAATTTTTCCAATAATAGTACACTACAAGAAATATTAAAATTACCGACAGATTTTGACCGTCGATAATAACAAAAATCCGTCGATAAATGAATATTACCGACTGAATTCCGATGGTTAAAAATTCGTCGAAAATAATTTTATTATTTATTAAAAATTTTACTTATTTATATTTTTATAGCTTTGAATTATTATCAGTAAAATTGAATTCAAGATCTTTAGAGTTGGAGATCGATACTCCAACCATTAAGCCTACTAAAATATTCCGATAATAATTTACAAATAAATTATATTTATATACAAATATACAAATATATTTTTATATATATATTTATATATTTATATGTTTATATATTTATATATAATCAAATATTTATTTTTATAAATTATTTAATTTAATAAGTTATTATAAATTAAATTATTAAATAAAAAATATTTTATTTTTTAATTAGGTGAATAATTAAATTATATTATATAATTTTACCGATGGATATATCCGTCGGTAAATAATTGTTAATTTACCGATCGGAAATATCTATCGGTAAATAATTATTAATTTACAAATGAATTTATCGACGAATATATTCGTCGGTAATTAATTGTTAATTTATCGACGGATATATCCGTCAAGTAAATTCATCTATAAATTACAGACGAATTTATCGACGGATATATCCGTCTGTAACTAATTATTATTTTACCGACGAATATATCCGTCGTAACATTAAATTTCACAAATATTTTATATTCGATCAGTAATTTTCAGTCAGTAATAATTATTTTTCGGTGATTTTCTTATAGTGGTATATTTTTATTTATAAATATTGTATATTTTATTTTATTCATAATTCTATTTTCTTAAAATACTCATTTTTACTATTCAGATTTGAATATACACATCAATTTGTTAAGTAAGAATTACAAGATTCTATTAATACATCCTCTTACTTTATTTTAATGGATAACTATTTTACTATATTTTTATTATTATCTAATTTATATTTTTTAATATAATTTATATATTATTATATTATAAAAATATTATTTTATTAAATTTAATTTAGTATTTAAATTCTTAATTATATTTTAGTGATATATTCAATTTTAAAAATATTAATTTAAATTAGGTTTAATTTTAACTTTTAAATAATATAAAATTTATTAATATTTTAAAATATTTTTTATTTTAATTAAATTATATAACTAAAATAAAAATTCATCTTTGATATTCGACAAAGATTGACAAATATTATCTTAAAAATTATATCAACATAATTTCTCAGTAATTAACATTATATTTTTATTTAATAAAGTTATTAATAATTTTAAAAACGGTGACGGTGAAAACATTTCGATAAGGTGGCTCCGTGGTACGGCTCTCGGAAACACGTCCTTTGGGGATTCAGAAAGCAAATAATACAGTTAAAAAAGATAATAAATTTGTTAAATAGTACATATAAAATTAAAAAATATTAAAAAAAGAAGAAAGAAAGACGACAATATAATAATTAAAAAAAAAGTGAAGGATTAGAATTTTTTTGAAAAAAAAAATCCAAAGAAATATGAGAATCAGATGCAGATATTCCTCAGTTGTGTATACTACTGTAACTTTATCTTGTAAACATTCTTTGGCCCAATGATACTTTTTTCCTTGTATGTGGGGCTATCATGAGCCACAGATTAAAACCAAAGGATGAGATTCAACCTATAGAGGATAACACTAACCATATTTTTATGTTTGTTGGTCTGTGACTACAGTACTATAATTCACTACCTTTTATCACCACTTTTGTTTTAGAGTTTAATGAAATTGTTTGAATAAAATGATTTTGATATATTGAATAATAATCTGTTATGTATAAATTCATTTTAATCATTAATTTTGAATTTTGAAGGATTTATAAAATATAAAACAATAATATTTAAAAGGATTTTATGGGTGTATAAATTAGAAAAAGAAAATCGATAGATTTAAAGAAATTGCGAGTTTACACCTACTAGTATATATAATTATATTTATAAGTTATTAATTTATTTCTTAAAGAAATGGGTGTTATGTTGTTTGTTAGCTAATTTCTATGTAAAAATATAACATAAATGGTTTCCAATTTTGAATAACTAACAAAACTTTAATTTGGAGTTAGTTTTCAAGCTTTTAACTAATTCTTTAACTACTTTTGTCAAACCTAAGTATAAATTATTTAAAATTACAAAAAAATAAATTCATTTACTTTATATTTTCTTTAGGATTGTTTATAGGAAAAAAAAGCTATGTAAATATGACTTAAATTACTTTTAAAATCTTGTTTTTTCACATGTCTTGTCCCTAATCTTTTAAATATAAATTAGGCTAATTTATTTGTGTGAATCTTTGAATTTTTTGTGTATTTTAATTCAGTCTTTTAATTAGACTTCTGAACTAATATTTATAGTTAAATAAATATTTATGTGTAATTATATTGATTTCAGAAAATTAATAATAAAAAATTAAGTAATCTCTAAATATTATCATATATCTATCTCTATTTCGTATATTTACTGACTATTATTTTCATTTATACAAATTTGAATATGTGATATTATAGAAATTATATTAATTTTAAAAATATTTACAAATTTATATAAGAATTATATTAATAATATTCATATATTTATTATTATTAATTATATTATCGAAGTCCTCATTTGTCTGAATTTTTTGGTATAATTTATAAATTTGTTGGTTATTTAATTTCAATTAATTTTAAATTTAATGTTAATTGATTTTAAATTAATTATTTTTATATAATATTAGAGTCTTCTTAGTATCATTTATTATAATATGTATCTTCTATTTTAATTCTCCCTCAATCGAATAAAAATGTTGAAGAGAGTTACAAATCACCTATTTTAATCCTTATGATGTTATTTATATATCTATTATACTATTAATTTACTTTAAATTAAAATCTAATATGAAATTATGAGATTGATATTTATAAAATGTTGATAAACCAAAATTTATGGACTGAAAAAATAGTTTATAGATAAATCTCAACAATAATAACATTTAATCAATTCATATTAAATACGCTGACTTAAAGTTTATTTTTTTTACAATACTCAAAAGAAATTTAATCTATAAATTAAAACGAGGATAATTTCAAACCTAACTTAAAAAAAAAAGAAAGAAGAAGTTGTAATTACTAATTTAAGCTCTATAGTTGTACAAGTATTATCTATTAGTTTTTATACTTAAAACTCATGAACTTAATATTCACACATAGTGGGTGTTTTTAATATAGAAAATAAAGAACAAGTGGAAAAGGAATTAAAGATTAAAAGAAAGGTTTAACATAACAGAAACAGTAATGTTAATCTTAATAGGTGGTGACATAGGTAGGGTAGAGTAGAGTGGAAGTGTTGGTGACCCCTTTTGAGACCTTTCCTTGTCACATACGAAACACAAAATGATTTCAGGAAAACTTTAAAACCGCACACCGATCCCATCCCATCCTCAACAATCAAAACCAAATGCAAACAAACCCAAGCCATTCCCCACACACCTCACACCTTTCCTTCTCCTCTCCTCCATCACCATACTCAATTATCAACCCGCTCTTACTTCTTCTCTTGTAAAACCCTCCACCGCAACTTAAATATTTGATTTTTTTTTTTGGTTTAGAGTTTGGTCTCACACACTGGACATGCTTGATTCCGTGCTTCTCGCGCTCTTCTTGCCCTGTTTGGGCATGAGCGCGGTTTTCATCGTCTACATGTGCCTTCTCTGGTACGCCACCACTCACCACACCGATCCCGGGCTACCGACCAAGCCAGTCTCCGACGACGGCCTCTCCCCTTCCCAGCTCCAGAAGCTCCCCTCCATCACCGGAAAAGATCTTCACATGGGCTCCGAATGTGCTGTCTGCCTCGAAGACATCGCCACCGACCAACCGGCTCGACTTGTTCCCGGTTGCAACCACGCCTTTCATTTGGAATGCGCCGACACCTGGCTCTCCAAACACCCCCTCTGCCCTCTCTGCCGAGCCAAACTCGACCCCACGCTTTTCTCTTCCTCGGAAAATCCATGCTGAACTCTGCGAAACAACGTGGCACTCTCAGAACTTAATTACGCCGAAGCTGTTTTGTTTCTTTGATTAGATTCAAACTCTTTGGTATTGTACAGTTTCTTATCTCTCGTGTGCAGCACAAAATATTCTCACATTGTTGGACGGATGGATCCATCCATTGGATTTGTTTCTCGACACGGAGTGGGGAACGACTCTACGCCTTTCTTTCTTCTTCTTTTCTTCTCTCTTCCGGTTTTGCTAATTAATTGTTACCAGTAATTTGTTAGTGGTGGTCATGGTTGATTGGGAGATGCGTGACAGTGTTTCATCGTTTGTATCTTCTCGGAAGCGTTCTAGAATTATTGTTTAAAAAGAAAGTGAAATTTGAACCTTTTTTTATTTTATTATTGTGTGAAAGAGAGGGAAGGGTGTGCGAAAACAAGAGCGGGTGATTCACGCAAACAGGGATGGATATGATATGAGCATGGGTTGGTCGGTAGAAGCAAGTGGGAGTGGATTGAATCCTTGAAAGTTCATTTTATTTTTCTTGTGGGGTTGAATCATCTTTTCAATGTTTCCTAGGCACACTTGGTGACATAGAAAAGGAGATATACAAACAGAGTGAAAGAGAACAAAGAGAAAGAGGTTTTTGATTCCTGACAACAACTAGATGCCAGCTGCAAGTGATTTTATTTGATTTGTTTATCTGGTTTTAATCTAACTAAGCTGTGGTGAGATGAGGTTATGTCATTGGGGGAAAATATCTGCGAATGAACAACCGGGTAATTAGTTAGGGATTGTTACAGAGGAGGGGTGATGGGATTTATGAAGCCACGTCACTGGGACGGGTGAACAATTTATATTTTCTACTCCTTGTTAACAAAATCATGGCATGAATGGGTCCCAAAAATGTGCAAAGGTGGCAACTGAATTGTGGGTATTAGGAGAAGATAATCCTTGTCTTGAATTGAAGATTGCAAGTATAATGATGGAAGGTTACATCGCTGAAGGTGATGCACAACACAGCAGCACCTAATGAGTATAATTAACCATGTAAGGGACTGCTTAGGATAACAAATTCCTTAATTAAAGTTGATGATATTTCATTATCACAATGGTGAGAAGGTAAAGACATTTTGTAATTTTGAATAGTTTTTATCTTATTCAAGAAAGCCTGTCTTAACAAGCATATTAATCTTTGTTAAATGTATAAGAGATTGAAACGTTGAGCGGAGAGAACTTATTGCTTATAACTCTAATAACTGAATTCTCTTTTATTTAAATATTAATGGAACTTGTAATTTTTTATTTGATAGTAACAGTAGTATTTTTTTAAAGTTACTTTTTAGAATTTTAGTATTATACATTATATTTCAACAGTTTAATTATTATAAATTAACATAATCCTTGCCACACGAGAAAAATTATTATACTGCCTTGGAACTTATGCAATACAGAATTTCTCAGTCTTATGCAATTTTTTTCTTTTAAATTATTCCGAAACTTCATGATGAAATTCAACTCAGAATATTTTTCTTTTTAACGTTAATAGTGTTCTACAATATCGATAACCTTTTACTATTTGAAAAATAAATTTGGATCTTGTTGCCAATTCTTGACCTACTTTCTATTTCATTCTTAATTTTTGTTCTTCTCTCTTAGATGAAAAATATATTTTAATTCACTTAGATGAAAAATATATTTTAATTCTCAAATTATTATGCTAAGATCAATTAATAAAAATATAATATGAAAAAGTAAATGATTAAATTGAGAATATTATTATTTATATTATTTTAAATTGACTTTTTATGTTATCAGACTTCATGGAGGACTCACACTCTTTTATATTTTATATTATAGGATTTGTTTAATTGATAATCACATATAAGAGACTTTATGAGCACATTAGTCCTAGGTTTGAGCTATTATCATAAGTAGGGAGAGTAATTTTAAAGAAAAGGAAGGTCTATTTCTTTACCCATAGTATATTAGTTCCCTAATTTCGAAGATAGAAAAAAAATGATAAAGTGTCTAAAAAAAATTGAGAGCAATAGATTGTATTGTCATCATAAATAACATATTAAGGGATAAATGCTTTGCTTTTGGAGGAAAAATTATTATACCCCAAAGAGTGAAGAATATGCTTTGACATGAATGATCACTAGGATGGTTCGAGACATATAAAAAGAGAGCAATAATAATGATATTTTTGCGATATTCCCTCGAGAGATTAGTATGCTCTAACAAGTTATTATTTCATTCGTGAAGGTAATCATGTCTTCGACTTCCCATTCTTCATCTTTTGATTTTAAGAGGCTAATAGGTGGATAATTAGATATGGTTGGAGAGATCATATCATATAATCGTCTAGGAAGTGATAATGAGTAATTATGATCAGTTAATGGTGGTTATATTTTAAGAAGATGTCATGTTGGGACCTTCGTAGTAGTTAAATGGGTTATGTCCCCCAAAATTTTGTAACTTCTTTATATATTTATGATTTTGACCCCTAATATTAAATAAATAATTAAATATATCATAAAGAAAAAACTGAAAGAATAAATTAAATAAGAAAGATTAAAAATAGTTTTATTCTTTAACATTTTCATATTCTCTCACTAATGGTAATATTTTATTATTATTTAATTATTTCTCTAATTTCTAAGGAATATATTAAATAAGAAAGATAATAAGTAGTTTTTTTTATCTTCTCTCACATTTTTATATTCTCTTACTAATAGTAATATTTATTGATTATTATTCGATTGTTTCTATAATTTCTACTTTCAGAACCATTTTTCACCTCTCCCTCCCCCTCCTTAGATTCCATTGTTGAAATTAGATTAATTGACAAAGTTACTTTTTCCTAATCTTTTCACACTTGCTTGTTCTATTATTGTTTGTTATTTTGATTTTTGTAGAAGAACTTTTGTTGTTTGAGAAAAATAATTTTGTTTTTTTATACATTTTTATGATTCTATAATTAGAAAATTAATAATAGATTCATTTTTTTCTAGATATGAAACATAAAAGAATATATTCATTTTTTAAAAGTGATAAAAAAGATACTTGTAGAGATAAAAATCAAACAAATTCAACATCTTCTCTTATTTTAAAGCATGATATTGATGATCCAATTATTTAATTGGAAGAACCCCTTTCTAAGATTCATAGAATTAAAACTAATGAATTTAATATTAATTATTTGGAGCGTGACCCAGGATATGGGGTAGATCATTCCTGCTTCTAACAACTTAATTACCTCCTTTCTGACTACTTCCTTCATGGTAGGATTAAGGCGCCTCTGTGGTTGAGCTACTGGCTTGTAGTCATGCTCCATTAAAATCCTGTGCATGCAATAAGAAGGACTAATTCCCTTCAAGTCAGATAAAGTCCACCCAATAGCTCCTGAATTATTCTTTAGCACCTCAATCAACTGTTGCTCCTCCTTCATTGATAAAGAATTACTGGTAATCACAGGTTTACCACCATTACTTTCTAAAAACACATATTTCAAATGAGAAGGTAATGGTTTCAATTCTAACTTCGGAGGAACCACCTTTTCATTATCTTTCTTTAATTCTTCTTTTAACATACCTGGAGAAACTGTTTTAAATTTGTCTAACTCTCTATTGCATCTTTGAACCTCCATGTCACTGTCAACTTCTATATCATAAAAATCACTAACCAATGCCTTCTCCAATGAACAAATTGTTTTGCAACTCCCTTGGACCTCCATGTAGATCTCATCAAGTACATCAATTCTAAAACAATCTTTTCTGTCACTAGGATACTTCATGGCTTTGAATACATCAAAGTTAACCTCATCATCCTATACACAAACCTTGAGTTTACCATTATCAACATCAATGATTACCCTGATTGTTTTCATGGAAGGTCTGCCAAGAATCAAAGGCACATCCGCGTCCTCCTCCATATCCATTACCACAAAGTTCACTGGAAACATGAACTTGTCAACCTTTACTATAATATCCTCCACAACACCATGAGGATATTTTATGGAACGGTCAACCAACTGCAATGTCATCCGTGTAGGCCTCACCTCCACATCACCTATCCTTTTTAACATGGAAAGAGGCATAAGATTAATACTAGCCCCTAGATCTAACAACATTTTTCCCACTAATAATGGGCCAATAGTGACTGGTAATGTGAAGCTCCCTGGATCATTAGATTTCTGAGGAAGGGATCTCTGAATAATAACACTACAACATGCTTCCAATTCCAATGTTTCTGCCTCAATCAGTTTTCTCTTCTTTGTTAGGAGCTCTTTCATAAATCTAGCATAAGTCGACATCTGCTCCATGGCCTCTGTGAAGAGAATATTAATCTGCAAACTTTTAATAATGTCAAGGAATCTAGCAAACTGACGTTCATTGTCCTTTTTAGACGGAGCATGTGGATACGACAAATGTTTCACTAGAGGGGTTCTAGCAACCATCTTTTCTTTTTTCTTCAGCTCCCTCTTATCTCCATCACAGTCTTAACTTTTTTCTTCTTCTTTTTCTTTTTGTTTATTATTTACAATTTCTTGTACATCCTGATACTCCTCTACCTGTGCTTCCTCCTTTTCAACAGTTTCCCCCACTTCTCTATTCAAATTATCCCCAATTCCTTTACCAATCACAATACCTCTCCTAGTAGTAATAGACTTACAATGCTCCCAAGGATTCACTTGTGTGTTGGTTGAGAACTTTTACTCTTGCTGCTCATATAATTGTTTCGCTAATTGACCCACCTAAACCCTAAATTCCTTATAGAGGCTTCTATATTTTTATGGTTGGTGGTGGACACCTGAATAAACTTGTCAAAGCATCCTCCATTTTTGTAACCCTATCAAGATGATACGACTCTTCTGTTAGAAAAATGACATCTAGAGGGGGTGAATAGATGCACAAATTAAAATAGATGCCAAATTAAAAAAATTATTGATTTAAGATATCCAATAATTTATTAATTCAATTTTAATTATCAAATTGAACATAGATAAAGCGAAAACA